AGCAGTTAATGTCTTGTGAATTACTGACTATGGTATAAAAATTTGAGTTTGAGAACTGCATTTTTTGTTTTCGTTTTTTACATCTGTACTACATATAATATCGCAGCATTATAATTTGCTGATGGTAGCATTCTTAATCTATTCCCAAAGACAATTAATGTCATATTTGTAAAGATACTAATAATGCAAGGTAATAGTCATGAACATTTTAAAAAGTAAAAATTAAAAAGATTCCTCTTTCAATAGAAGGTACTTGGTGATGGAGTTGTCAGAACTGAACCCTGCCATAAGTCAGGACTACCTGTACTGCCAAGCACTTTTCCAGAGTGGTTGTACCGATTTATACTCCTACTAGCAATTTGTGAGAGTTTTATGTCTTTCTGTATTATCTGCAATATTAGTATATTGTTAGTCTTTAGGGTTGGGTGGGTATTAGTATCTCATTTGGTTTAAATTGCCTTTCCATAATGGCTAGTGGAATTGAACCTCTTTTCATTATTTATTAGCCAGTTGAGTAGTTCTTCTGTGACTTTTTTGTATTAGTCTTAATTTGTGTGATTGTAGAACTTGTTCATATATTTTGTCGATGAATACCTATATTGCAAATAACTACCCCCTTCTCTTAAGCATGTCTTTTCAGTCTCTTATAATTGCTAGAATATACAATTCTCTTAATTCCATTTTTCCATGAACATTTTGAAGCCTCCCTATGTGTCTGTTTCTTAAGAAAATTGCCTACCCCGTTGACATAGTTTACTTTGCGTGTTTTAGTAAAAGCTTCATTCTTGTATATACTCCAAACATATTGAACACTTCATGAGATAATCAGTGAGGTAGCTCCATACACACACACACACACACACACACACACACACACACTCGGTTTCTATAATAGAGAAAAACCATTTCAAATGCAGATAGAACATTTGCAGCAATTTTTATTTTAGACTACAAATAAAACATCAAATTCAAAATAATTAAAATAAAACAGCATATGGAACAGTACCAGAAATAACAATCTGAAAAAGACAAAGGCTCTTTCAAATGTGCTGGTGTTGTCACCCTATAAGACAGAGTAGAACTGCTCTATGGAATCTGCAGAGTTGTCATCTTGTGGCATTGTGGGATAAGCACTCGATTATAAGGTCAGTTTGAACCACAAGGTTGGTGGTTCAAACTCACCAGTCTCTTCTCAGAAATCCTGGATAGTTTCCAAGTAGCGGCTGGCAAGTCAATAGAAAGGTGAAGATTATCATGGAAAGGTAAAGAATGTAATAACTGAAAGTAGAGAAACACAGTAGAAAAAGTTTGTTTTCAAATGAATCACCAAACTTCTCTAACGTACTGTTTCAAAAAGGAAAAAGCCTAAGTGTACAAAATAGGGTTGTGAAAATTATCAACATGAAATTTAAAAGTCAATGTAAAGTTTATGTAATACCATCACAATATGCAGATGAACATAATATATATGAAGTTTACAATCGTCAAGCAGTGTTAAGTAGGCATATAGAAAATACTTAATATTTACTTACTGTTATTAATAAAATGATGTTTTTGAAGAAAATCAGTATAGGCGCTAAAGTGTATTACTGAAGATAAGCTTGGCATCATTTGTTGAGCTGATTGTTGTTAAGTGCCATCGCGTCAGTTCTAACTCATAGCTACACTATGTAGGGTTTTCGAGTAGGGTTGGCTGAACCGCCAACCTTGCAGATAGCAATCCAGTGCGTATCCTACAGCACCATACCAGGACTCTAGTTCTGAGCCTTTACTATTTAGAAAATATGAGCAGTTACGTTTAGGTTTTATGAAGTTATGAGAACAGTCAGTCATTGGCATTGAGTATTAAATCTGTTCCCTCACTGGTGGGTGCTGGAATTTTCATAATTTATTTTGGTTGGCTTTGTAATAGGCTGTAGTTTTACTTACTAGAAAGCCTTTTACTTTAAGGGGGTAAACATTGAAGCAGTTTGCCCTTGAAAATTACAAATAGTCTGATGTCTCTTTCTAGGCTACAAAGTAGAACTCAATATTTTCTAATGGGAATATTTTGGTTGGTTTGTTGGCTTTCTGTTTATAATCAGGCAGTATTTGGAACAAATGAGAAGTCTGAGATTTATCGAAAACATTAAAAAGAAAATAAACATAATTAGATAGTAATAGTTTTCATGATTTCCTGTTAAAAGCAATATTCAAATAAGAAAAAAAACCAATAGCAAGTATTGAAAATATGGAAAAATCAAAATCCTCTTATGCTGCTGGTAGAATTATAAAAATAGTTGCAACCACTTAAGAAGTTCCTCAAATAGATAAACATGAATTTAACCACATATCCCACTGCTGTCAAGTCAATTCCAACTCGTAGTTGGATTTCTAAGGCTATAGTCTTTATGGAAGCAAACTGCCACATCTTTCTCCATTGTGGGTTCAAACTGTCAACCTTTCTGTTAACAGCAGTATGTACTAAACAGTTGGCTCACTAGGGCTCCTTGTTATTGCTGCTAAGTACTGTCGAGTCTGTTCCAACCCATAGCAACCCTATATAGGGTTTCCAAGGAGCGACTGGTGATTTGAGCCTTGTGGTTCAAATCGACCTTGCAATCTAGTGCATTAACCCACAGCGCCACAACAGAGTTCCTTAGAGTTATCATAAGACCTAGTAATTCCACTCCTAGTTTTTACTCAAGAGAATTGAAAACATATGTTCATACAAAAACTTGTACGTGGTTGATCTTCATAGCATTATTCAATAATAGTCAAAGAGTGTAAGAACTCAAAATGTCCATCACTGGTAAACAGTTATTCACAATGTGGTACAGTAAAACTTGGGAAAACTAGAACCTACACAAGGCATAAACCTATCAGAGAAGCAAAGCAGATGTTTTCCATTAATAGAGAGCAATAGATAAATGGTAAAACTTGCAAGACCTGGAAGAACAGAGCAGTCCCATCAAATTCCATCTCTCACAGGTTTTGTTACATATGCATGCAATGAAATGTTAGTTATCAGTTAAAAGAAATGGAGTACTGATACATTTATAACATGGATGAGATTTTAAAACATGCTAGGCGAAACAGTCATAAAAACCACATACTTCATTCATCATTCCATTTACATGAAATATTCAGAATAGACAAATCCATCAATATAGAGAGTCCCTTAAGATTTGTAGCAGAGAAGAAGAGTGACAGAAAATGGGTGCAGTGGGGTCTTTTTGAAAGCTGTTGAGATTTGATTGTGATGATAGTTGCATAATTCTGAATATATTAAAATCCATTGAATTGTTCACTAGGTACATAAATTATGTCAATAAAATTGTTAAAGAAAAAAAGATTATGCTATGTGAATTAAATCTCCACAAAGCTGTTATTTAAAAAAAAAAAAAAACCTTGATCAGCATCTAAGTACACTGAGGATATATGGTTACTTTTTCCTGCACAACTCTCTCAAGAATTACCTAACTCCGTTTTCGTATGATGCATTACAGTCAACTGTAATTTCTTTAGTTTTATGTCACATGGAGTCTTTGTTAATTCTTTTCCTTACATATAAACTGTTTTAAGTATTGAGACACAAAGCTAAAGCTTAGAATGCTAATAAGTCATCTTCTAAATACTGCTTGCTGTTGTTTTCTTTCAATACACAGTGTATTCCTTTCTCCAAACATCAGTGAGAGTAAATTGAAATGCTGTATTCCAAACTTATGTCTTGAATTGAACCATGGTTCCTCACTGTCATGTCAGCTGCTTATACTGTACATGGTATCTTAACACCTCAGTGGGCATTTTGCCTCCCAGAACTTTTGGTCCAACAACTATGAAAGAGGAGGGAAGGCAATATAGTAAGCATGCACTCCTTGAGAATCATCACTATCAGTAGTGATTATAATTTCAATATTTTTATTATTAAGGGATCTGAATCAATCATTTCTGTTGGTCATATTACACTAGTGAAATTTAAAAGGAGCTCTGGTAGCACAGTGGTGACTAGTTGGGCTGCTAACCTTCAGATTCAGCATTTTGAAACTAACAGCTGTTCCACAAATGAAAGATGAGACTTTCTGCTTCTGTAAATATTTACAGCCTTGGAAACCCTATGCAGTATTGCTGTGGGTCGGAACTGACTCCACAACACATAACCACCAACACCATTAAAATTTAACAGAACTCAAATGAAGGGCTAATTGCAGTTTATTTTAAGAGGATAAGATCTTGAAGGAAGAATCTTGTTGATAAGTGTTGTCGAATTGGTTCTGATGTATAGCGACCCTGTCACCAAGGAGCAGCTGGTGAGCTTGAACCGCCGTCCATGTGTTTCAAACTTACCTTGCAGTTCAACACATTAACCTGCAGCGCCACACCAGGACTCGATTCTCTAATGTTTGGCACAGCTGTGACAGGCTATAAAAACAGCTAATGCTAAAGGAGGAGATAGTGACTACATCCAATGCAACCTACATTGCTTCTGTTGGAGAAATCCCAAAGCGCCCTCTAACATGAATCTAAAACTATTTAAGAGGTGAAAGAATAATACTATAGCATTAATGCTATAGTAGTGTTTGAGATGGAATGGCTTTATTACCCTTGCTTGAAAGATGGGAAAACTGAGCCCCATTCTGTCAGTACAGGGTCCTTCCAGTGTATCTCTAGATCATTGATATTGTCTAAAGGACTCTGGAATCTTTTCTACATTTTATCTAACTTAATGACTTAGTCTCTTCTCCTTCCTGCTTCTTCAATCTCTATAATTTTTCCATTGAAAAATTAAAGTACTGAATACTAACACACATCCCTTCCCCATCCTATCATCCTTGAATAGAGCTTTCTGAGGAAATAAACTGAAAAGGGAGGCTGTTTGCAGTAGAACTCCAAAAAGAAGATCCTTCCCCAAAGTGTTTGATCACAGTTCTTAACACAGGTAGCAGCATATGATTGGGGAAGGAATGGTGCTTGATACCAAGTCTGATGACATAATTTTTTATTGTCACTTTTCCCCCTAGTATCGTCTAGACTGTCACAGCCATCCTCCCCCCAGTCAGGCTGTCCATCACCCTCCATTGCAGCAGGTAAAGTCATTTCTCCATCACAGAAGCACAGCAAGAAGGCACTAAAGCAGGTAATCATGCTAGTCTCTGTTTATCAGAAGTACAATCTCCTACATTAATCGCCTACTTTGGCAGTCCTTCAGAATTTCTTGAAAACATTAGGCTCCTAAGGGGGAAATTTCATACAATATTATAATTTGGTCACTTAATAATCTATGTACCTTTGTGTGTGTGTAATATATCTGTTGTAGGTTTTTGTTACTCTTTTTTTTTAAATCACATTTTAAAAGTTCTCTAATTTGTTGCAACTTACTTAAGAGGGATTTGCAAGTTTCTTTTTCTTTTTTTTTGTCAAAGTCATGAATAGTTATTAAGTTTTTCAAAGGTGTACCCTCACCCCCAACCCCCCAGGATTTGTTCACATGATCAGGTAGTTTTACTCACATGTTTGTTTTGTATGTTTTTAATACATTATTAAAATCTCTTAAGATTTTACTTTGGATTTTGTGATTTTTTTCTTCTACTATCCTTACATAGTTTTAGAATCGGGATTATTCTGCCCACCCCCTGCTGCTGATTCGAATCTGACACACAGTGGTCCTATACAGGACAGAGTTGAACCTTACGGCTTTCAAGGCTGTGAATCATCATGGGAGCAGACAGTCTCATCTTTCTCCTGAGGAGCAGCTGGTGGATTCAAACTGCCAATCTTTCGGCTAGTGGCCCAACACTAGGGTTCTAGGATTATTCTATTGTTGTTTGTTTTTAGTACTGTTGATTTGGTTCCAACTCATAGAGTATCTCGTATAGGGTTTCCAAGGAGCGACTGGTGAGTTTGAACTGCTTACCTTTTTGGTTAGCAGTCTCAGCTCATCAGCACCACACATGGACTGTAGGAGTATTCTAGCATCATTAAAATAAGTTGTATAACTTGCCGTGTTTGGAACAAAATTGTAGAGATTTTCTTATCCTTGAAAGTTTAATAGATTTGAACTTTTAACATTTTCTTACCATTTCTGGTTCTTTTAGCGTCATTGAGCTCTTCTGATTTTCTGTGGTTTTTTGAGCTAATTTTAGAAATCCATTTTTCTTAGAAAATGGAACATTTTACTTGTTGGATGCTGTTGAGTCGATTCCAACTCATAGCAATCCCATGTGACAGAGCAGAATTACCACATAGCGCTTTCTAGTCTATAATCTTTACTGGCGCAGGTCTTTTTTTCAAAATCCACTTTTTCAAATAATTGTTAGAAAATTATATATTGTATTCTCATATGTCTTCTTTTGTTCCCTCAGTGTTACATTCATATATAATGTTGCTGTTTTTTTTTAAATACTATTTTCCCAAAGTTTATCTATTTCGGGAATATTTTCAAAGAACTAGCTCTTTGACCAATAAATATAAACTCATGTTAGAGAAACGTTAAAATAACAGATTATTTTTACTATCAGAATAAATTATGGTGCTTAATTTTATTAGACATTGGCAAATTTGTGGGCAAGCAGCTACTTGTAATTTGCTGGTATAATATAATTTAATTGTCGCCACTTTAGAGTAACATTTTTGCAATATCTATTAAGATTTAAAGTACAATACCCATGAACAAATGAATGAGCTTTTTGGAATCTGTATTAGAAAAATAAACATACACACATATACATCCATACAAACATGCATACAAAACATACAAAAAGATACTTGCATTTAAGTTTTTATTAACAACTTGGAAATTACCTAGTATCTATTAATTAGGAAACTACATAGCAAATGATAACATAGCCATATGCTGTATATAATTATGCACAAGTAGAAGTTGAAAAATTATTGAAATAAAAACATTGAATTATTAAATTAAAATTATGCTATATATATATATACATTGAATGATACTATTTATCAAAGCAGTATTATATAGTTTATAGAAGTATAAATATATATACATGTTGTTAAGTGCCGTCGTGTCAATTCTGACCCATAGCAACCCTGTATAGGGTTTCTGAGGAGCAGCTGGTGAGCTTGAACTGCCAACCTTGCAGTTCAAATGGCTTTGCAGTCTGGTGCATTAACCCACAGCACCACACCAGGACTCCATATATACATAGATATATGTAAATAAAAATAAGTTCAACGCAGAAAATTAATTGCATGACTAAATTTAGTCATATGAGAATTGAGACCTAAGTCTAAGGAGTGTTGTCCATTAAAGAATTTAGCTTTATGCTAGAATTAAATGGTAAAAATATTTTCATGTAATTAAGTTAATTAAAATTTTTTTTTAAAATGGTTTAAACATTATATAGGTCTTAAAATGTTTAAGGCAAAAGTGCTTTTATTTAAACAATCCACATTTGATGATACTATTAATTACTGCTTGCCTGGATATTCGGTAGCACTAGTAATGTAGCACGTTCTTCAGAAAAACGTAACAATTATAAGGTACTTCTTTTCCATAGAAAAGGCAAGTATTAAACTTGATTAGCTAAACTATTATACGTACACTGTGCCTGTGCCTGTGCCTGTGCACTATATTCCTGTAATTGCAGGAGTCAAAATAGCGTATTTTCTTCAGGAGTATTAGTATGCAATATTACATAAAGTAGGTTGTTGCTCCCAATGTGTGTTTTTCCAATTGTACTAGCTAAGAAAAATTACTTCATTAGTAGTTATCCTCCACCATAAATGAGGATTTTTTTTTAATATTGCTTGCTTTTAAACAGGGTTGATAAACTACTATGTACAGTTCTTGTCATATTCTGTTTCCTTCTTATTTCCAAATTTACATCATCACAGCAGAAATACTAGTAAATGGATACTGCATTGACTTAGAATGACCTGGGTATTTTCTGGTTGTGATTGTAAAGGATAAGACAATAAATTATAGTATATAAACCATAGTCAAACAACACTACCACTTCTTATACTTTCAGCCTCCCTTCACCAATTGTAAATGTTGTCAGTGAGTTTCAGCCAGATGTTTGAAGGTTAAAGCTTGAAACAGGCAATTAGCATAATGAAGAAAAAAAAATTCAGAGTTTGTGTTTTGTTATGTGTTGTTTTTTAAAACATTGAGTTAAGAAGATGCTTTTATATGTTTTCATGATGCAATTTATGGGAAGTTTTGGTTGTTCTGTTCATTAGTATTGTCTAGTTTATTTTTAAAGTAAGGATATCATAAAAATACAAAGATTCTGAAAAAGCCAGAAGGAATCACACTATTATTAGACCAGTATTTTCTAATCTTCCTTCTTTTCTAATTAGCATTGTCATAGGTTATTAGACCAAATCTCACGACTCATACCCAATATCTAACACAAGTAGTAAAATGCAACCATTTCAACCTTTTGTCCACAGTATGCATAATCTGAAAATGTACATGAACTAAAAATATTTGCATTCCTACATAGAAGTGATACAAATGTGACTCATTTTAATGCTGTTCTTAGCATACAAATTCCTTACAATAGCATATAAGATTCCACTTTTGCTTTTACATGTTTGGGAAATCCCTGGTTTACTGGTGTTTTTAAGTTCTAAAAATTGTTAATGATTTTTCATAGGTATATAATACTGGCAAAGCCCCCCAGGAACTCTTCCCCCCCCGCCCCCTCCCCACACAGCAACTATTATAAGGGTCATTTTAGGCATTGTTGTATTTAGTTGGTTTAATTTTTGTCTTTTTGTTTGTGTTGATAGAATTGAAAGATACTAGATGATAGCCACTTTTTATTATTACTAAAACCCAATTTGTTTTGTTTCTTATAGTGAGTTTTCTCATTATAGGCACTAAAGCAGCAACAACAGAAGAAGCAGCAGCAGCAATGTAGATCAAGCATGTCCATCTCTTCCAACCAGCATCTTTCTCTAAAGACTGTCAAAGCAACCAGTGACTCGGTGCCTGCCAAGCCTGGTAGGCAGATTGGACATTTTTTTTTTAATGGAAGATTCTTTTCTTCAGTATTTTCTGTTGGTTTCTAAATTTGTACTCCACATCATTTATCTTGATATTAACATACTTATTGACATAACCTCTGTACTGTCAAATCAATATATAAATTCTTCTAGGAAAAATGGGAGAAATTTTAATGTAAAATAATCCTTTTACATTATTTAGTTATAAAAAGCATCAATGGAACTTGCTTGTAGGAATGAGATCATTGGCCAGCTCCAAGATATCTAACTTAATAGTATTTGGAAGCCTCTACTTAGTAACTTCATCATACTGATGTTTCCAAAGAGCTTCATATGGAACTCTTGGCCAATTCTCCCGTTTAAAATTTTTTAAATTTTCTTAAGACTACCTACCTACCTTTGAGTTTCCACTGGACATGTCCTTAAGACCTTTGGATTTTGTTGCTGTTGGTTTGGTTTTTAATCTATTCTAGATGCCATCTTTGTATTTTATTACACAATTCCATTTGAAGACACAGACTGATTATGTGGCTTTACCAAATTTAACCTGTGTCTTATAGAACTTTGAATTTTTATTTTAATGAAAGAGAGAACACTCAAAGCAAATGGTGTATTGCTTGAAAGGAAGGGAATTACTTGATTTGAATTTTGACTGTCAGACTCAGGGTTATGTTTCCTTATATGTACCCCATTTAGTTACATTGAATGATTCATCATTTAAGTGATTGATTGATTTGGATCTATAACCTCAGTGCCACTAGTCATTACATGTTTTTTCCCTAGCAATATGGGAAGGAAAGCAATCTGATGGACAGTCAAGCATCCCCCAGAACTCAAATTCCAGCTTTTGTTCTTCAGTTAAAGTGGAAAATCCTTTGCTAGGCTTGGGGAAGAAGTCATTCCAGAGGTCTGACAGGCTCCACACAAGTAAGTGAAAATTGTAAAGACTTCAGTTGCCTTAATTTGCTAGCTATCTTTGTTTGATACTCATTGGCTATTTTGCTTAGGATTGGGGCATGATTTGAGTTATATAGAAAAGATATTAGACATTATTTCTCTCTTTTAATAACAACAACAGTTTAAAAAAATGGAGGAATTCTGCTAGCATGTCTTTCCTTCTTTTTGTTTCTCTATTTACCTTTGAACTCTTGACTCTCTTCATGTTCTCCTTTTCCTACCCTTTTCAAACTTGACCTTAGAGAAAGATCTAGTATCAGTCATTTTGCGATTTCTTTATCTTGTTGTTATGTGCCGTCAAATTGGTTCCAACCCATAACAACTCTGTATAGGGTTTCCAAGAAGCATTATTTACATTTTAAGCTTTTTATCTGTGAATGGGAAGGTAGATGTACGTATAGTTAAATATGGCAAACGGAATCTTTGCTTTTCCTGCTCCCTCTGAAAAAGGAGAGTATGGAAATGGAAAAGATTAAATTCATAAGGATCAAGAAGACAGCAGCTGTGATGTGAACAAATTTTGAAAGATGGATCTAGATGGAGGTTTTTCACAGATCTTAGACTATCTGCCAAGCATATTCTAGTAAGAAGCAAGCCACTTAACAGCTGCAGAACACTGGAAAGGCTCATGAAGGGGATACAATCATATATCACAGAAGGATCAGCCATAAGATTACAAAGAAGGATGTACATTGAAAGTGTATTAAGCAACAGTTTAATGCCTTACCCCAGCAGGAAACTTGAAATTTAAGATGATGTGCAACCAAATTCAGGGATACCACATAGAGCTGAGCACAAAGATGAGACACTACTAAAATCAGGGTTGTTGTTGTTGAGTGCTGTTAAGTCGGTTCCAACTCCTAGCAACCCTGTGTTGGGTTTCCAAGTAATGGCTGGTGAGTGTGAACCACAAATAACTGAATAGTTGATCTTCCTACTTAGCTTCTATAATACTAGTGTTTAGCTGCAGTGAAGATGATATTGGCAACTGTCTCTACACCTAAATGAAACACTGCCTTCTGCATGATTAGTTGCAGATCAGACTGTTCTGATCCAGAGGGCTTTCATTGACTGAGAGAGCTTCCTAACCTGTCTTAGACTGAGAGCTCTGATAACACCTGTCCTGTATCATAGCAGTATGCAAACCCTCTACTGACAGACAGGTGATGGCTGAACTTGGGATTCCCAAAACGTCTACCAGGGAATCACCTTTGCTGTTGTTGTTAAGTGCTGTCGAGTTGGGTCTGACTCATAGTGACCGTGTATAGGATTTCCAACTAGTGGCTGGTGAGCTTAAACCACGGAATTACTGTTCAAACCGACTTTGCAGTCTAGCATATTAATTTGCAGCACCACACAAGGACTCCGAATCACCTTTATCTCCCCAGAATGCTAGTAGTGAACCATATTTCTACCATAACTGCTTGCTTTCGCCTCCTCACCATGCTCCAGCAAATTACTGGTGGATTTGTTCCTGGAGACATTGAATTGCCTTAGAATAATCCCTGCAGGCAAGTTTATAGGTTCACTATTAAACCAATATTACCCTGATTAAACTTCTGGGAAGCTTATCAGTTTACAAGACCCACCCACCTATACCCAGAGTTTCCAGTCATTTTGTGCTTCTCTCTTAAATATAATCGCTAAAGATGACCAGACATTAGGGAAAATGTGAAATATAGGAACTCTTAGGAAAGTGAGACGGTTGAAGAAGCTGGAGAAAATTTTAAAACTATAGTAAGAAATTAGATGAAAGGGTTCTGTGATACAAATTTGAAAATTATAATAAAAATACTGAAAGGGGTAAAGTTTTTACAAATTAATAGAAAATAGATCAAATAGATAAACATGTTTAACAAAAGGGAAGAGGTAAGAAAATTAGAGCACTAATGCAGGAGTCCAATACCCTTAAAAATAAGGACTACTAGAGAAAAATTGAAATAGTATAAGAGAAATAATATAAAAACACTTCATAGAATTGAAAACCAAAGAATTTGAAATTGAAAAGATTCCAAGAAACATGAATTTTTAAAAGCCTGCACTACGGTATATTATTTAGAAATTTCAGGCATCCAGGATAATGAAAAGATTTGAAAAGTCTCCAGAGAGAAAGAAATATTTATATACAAAGATTTAAGAATTGAGATGGTAAACATTTCATTAGTAACTTAAAAGTCAAAAGACAGTGCAGCAGTGCCGAAAAAGTTTCCAGAGAAATGTATTCAATATTTATTCTGCCCTTATCTATGCTTTCCAGATCCATCTAAACCATTAATTTGAGGATGCAATGCATATATTTTCAAATACATCCTTTTTTTAAGTTTTTATTGTGAATTAAGTGATAGTTTACGTGGAAGAACATTAGTTTTACATTCATCCTATCATATTTCATTTCATTGCAATGATTACAATCCCCTCCATGCATCATCAAACAACCAAAGGGTACCCACCCCCCTGCAAGCCTGTCCCCCAGCTGTAAGCACATAGATCGTCTTCCTTCCTGAGTCCATAGTTCCCAGCCACTCCATCTCTCCACTTCATCATCTCTGCCTCCATCTCTGGCGTCACTGCTTTCTATGGATAGGGTCCCACACTCCACTCTTCTACCTTGATGGTCCCAGGGACCTCTGCTCCTGGACTGCAAAATCTACCACTCCCCTCCTTTTGTTAAAAAATGTCTACCTTTACATTTGCAACACTTACAGTCAGACCTGATAGCAATTATTCACTATTGTACCATTAGAATCTTATCCCATCTCCTTTCATCAGCCTCATCCAGCCAGGTTGGAAACCACTCAGTGGAGAGTCTACCTTCCTCCACACCCTCTGAAACTAGGCTCCCTCTTGAAAGCTTGTAAGCCCGTCACTTCGTGCCTTTGTAATGCTCCCAGTTTGGGTAGCCAGTGTCTAAGTTGCCCATCCCTGTCAAACCTGGGTACCGAGGGGGTGGGGTGGGAATGATCCACGCTGTAAAGATTCATTCCCTCTTTTGAACTACTACATCCGTAAATATCGGTAAAGTTCATCAAATTGTAGCGGATTACTCTTTTTTACCTCTTCTTTCTTCCTCTAGTTGAGCTCTGATCATCCAGCCATTGAAGCCAGGTCAAGTGGGTACTATCTGCAAGTATGGATGTACTTGTGCATCTCTCCTCACTTCATATCAGCTGGACGCCTCACTCTCCTCTCTGGTCCTCCGTGGCCATGTCCCTGTCTCTGGACCCAGGAGTCACCAGGTCTTGCCATAATGCTGGCCAGCCAGGTCTCAACCCGGGTTTACAGGAGTCTATTGAATGTGATCAGACTTAGTTCACAACTTCATTGCTGTTTTTCTCCCACTTCCCCTTATCACTCTGGTCACCAAGCAAGACCACATGCCCACTCTTGTATTTCCTTTGAGTCTTAGTTTTGGAAGGGGGTTTGCCCTGAGGGGACCTGACCGCTTGCCTTGATGGCTCCCAGGTAAACAACTTGCTTGTTCTGTAATAGTCAATCAGACTTTATTTATTGTTATTGATTTTCCTGCTGGTCTTTCTTTCAAGAAGTATCTTCTGTTCTTTTAGCTGCTCTAGTCTGGTCTGCTTGTCCTTTCAAGTGGAAATTTCCCACCTCAGAAGATTCTGGATGCCCATCAGGATTCTACCTATGTCTTATGCAATGCAAAGGCTCCTCAGGCAGCCTCCCTCACTGGGCAAGTTCTAGCCCCATTTTAGGTATTCCAATCAGTTATAGGATGAAGACGGACTTACAAGCTTTGTATGGTGATGTTTCTGGCTATTCCTTTCTCTCACCTTCAAATGTCTGTTTTACAATAGTAGGCAAAGGAAACCAAGATTCAAAACTCAGCCAAGAAATGCATTCTTTTTAATAACCTGGCTTGATTCTAGGTAGATTTATAAATTTGCACATTTTTCTGGGAGGCAATTTGGAAGTAATTTCCCAAATTTAAACTTAAATGTTCTTAGGTCATTAATTTTGCCACTAGGAATTTAAAATGCTCATGTATTAAACAAAGATTTCTAGATTTGCTAATACCCCAAGCATAGGTTTAGGACCCCAGTGATGGTAAGGAACAGAATAAAGTTCCTTTCTTACAGAGTCTATATTCTACTTAAAGTCATAATTTTAGTTTCTTCATTCAGGTATAATAGAAATGTGGCTGTACATAATGGAGAAATTAGGAAAAGAAAATTTCTAACTTAACATACAAAACTAGGATTAATTAGTTTAAAAGGCATCGTGTCTTTTGAGTTTGCTATAATGGCCAAGAAGTAAATGAAAATCTTTGTCTTACATGCAAACAAACTTTAATTAAAGGAAATAGTATTAGAATATTTACAATATAGGCATCATTGAATATTTTAAAAATACATGGAAATGCAGCCTTTTTCATGTAAAGCATAATTATTTACTTGAAATATTTTTTGGTTAATATTGATATTTATTTTAACTTGAAAAAAATTGATGGTGTGTAGTATATATTTTCACATCTCAGATTCATTCAGAAGAATAAGCATGGGTCAGATTTGAAGAAAAATGTAATAGAATCAGATAACTTAAACTGCAAAAAGTAAAGTGAAAATCAGAGGACTTAAATTGCTAATCCTAAAAGTGAACCATCTTGTCTAAAGGCACATAAAAGTATCTTCAGTGTACATTTTGTCAGTAATAGATCAGAATAGTTTACAGCTGCTTCAGAGACTCGCTTAAAAAGTTAAAGTTACCTAAATTATGATTTAGATGTGAAGGAGCATAATGAATACAAAAATAAAAATTACTCCAGGAAGACTGACAGATTTTATCAATTATATGGGGAAAGGAAACCATGATCTTGCTTTGTGGTCAATACAGCCATTGAAGCATTGATTATACAAATAAAAACCTAGTAGCGATCTATATGATCATTACTGAAGATTCAGTTAATTTCATTATGGTACTTCATATGTTGGAATACTATGCATCTTTTGTGT